TTGTGCTATCTAACTTATTGTATTGATAGAAATGACTACAAATGTATTTTTCTGGAGAAGTCGGTCCAAACACTTGACAAATGAAGTGTTGCACAAACCGGCCTTGGAGCCTGATGGTGTTTGAGAACCCGTGTGAATGTAGGCCACGGTTTGTAAAGCTTTTTATCTGGTGTAAGCAAATCTCATCCACCCTTCTTTTTAAAGTTGCCTGGTGGTGAAGTGTTTGCTAAAGGTGTAATTCCATCTTTTTCTTATTCCAGACTTGAGCAGCCAACAGGTCTGTGGTCATCAGTCACTGATTGGAGGCACCCCGGCCGGGAAGACAAACAAAAGGCACCCACTCCAAACATTTCCACCTTGGCTGCTTTCAACTCCTCATCCGCACTCAAATCCACCAGGGAGACCGGGGCCGCTGACCAGGGTCAGTGGGGTTGAAATAACACAGCTACTTTAATCTGACCCCTCCATCAGGCCACAGCCTCCATCCTTCATTTGATCTGCCACTAGATATCTACCACACTGGCTTACTGAGGCCATTAAAGGATGAATGGCTGCAGAGGCGACGTGTGGATGTATATGTATGTGTGACAATAACACAGAAGTTCACAAAAACAGACATAATGTTGACATTTACAATCTGATGGAGACTTTTTGGATTCTAAGCATCAAGCTAGAATGTTTGGTTGTCTTATGATAAAAATAATAAATCTTTGATTTTTAACAGCTTTGATTTTTTCTAAGAAAGAATTACCCCATGAGATCAACAATACAGACATGTTTAAACTTAATTAGATGATATTAAGAGAAATAACTTTAGTTTTTTTATATCAACAAAGAACTTTTTTTTATTTGATTTGGATTTAACTGCCTGTGTGTGTTTTTATAATCCTCTATCACGGTGAGATCATCCTCTGTTTAGAGGTGAAGAGAATTAATCCACTTCTCAATGTTTTCAAATCATTTTTCACTCTCTGCCTGTGTAATTATCCAAATGTGCCAGTTTGCGCAAGTTCTCACAAGCTCCCTCTCAAATTATCTGCATATTTTCATCGCAATCTCAAATGTGGGAAGCTTATTTGAAGGAGTCGTAAATGGATCGGCAGCCGTGTAACCGCTGTTTCATGTGTTGCCACATGGACACATCTCAGCACTGTCTCCGCGCTCTCTAATTTGGACGAGCCCTGCTCAGGCCTGACACACCAGAGAGTGGCATGATGTTGACTCTGACTTACTGTTGTATAATTAAGGGAAAAAAATGTTTGCTTCAGTAGCCCCGTCACACCAGCACAGAAACCTCTACTACACACACAGGTGTTTAGAGGGAGTGTGTGTTATTGTGTATATGGTGCTACATGAAGCTTTAGTTTAGGTTTAGTTTAGAGTAGGGATTAGAATTAAGACCAAATTAAGGTAATGGTAAAGGTAAGTGGTTAGGTCGACCGCTTACCTTTACAATTACAAATGTATGCCTTGTTCATGTCTGTACAAAAACTTCACTACTCATGAAAGTTCTCACAACACATTAAAACCAGGCTGTGTGTTTGTGTGTGAGGAAACGCCATATTGAGGCCAAATGTTGGCCATGTTTCTCACATCTCTACTGGTATTTATGGCAGCTGTGCATAAAATTAGCAATGAACAAGTCATAATTTTTTTTTGTTTACCAAAGTTGTATTTCACTTGTTCAACATCAGACCTGATTGATTTGTTCTTTTATGAACTGAGGAAGCTGCCATATGGCGCTGCCATATTATTGCCATTCTTTTATCTCCCCTCTGTCTCCTGGCAGTGGTGTGGAGGAACTTGGTCTGGAAGATTCCTAAGCATAGCAGGGGTCTGAAGAGGATGCGAGCGGCAGGATTTAACCACAGGAGTCACGGGTCAAAGGTGCCTTTAAGTTCCACATCTGCAACTTTGCCAGATCCTGTCCGGGCTTCCGTCAAAGTGGGCAGCCAGCCACACTCTAATGTGTATTAGCAAGACAAAGGCAGGGGATAGGGGTGGGCACAAGATGGTCTTTGATTTCTCTGAGATTTATGGGCGTGATGAAATCAGCCCTGAATAAACTGGGCTTTCCCGTTTTCTCTGTCATTTAGCCACATCTGAGGGCTCCGGGGTTTGTTCCTGGAGACAGACACCCTGTATAAAAAGGCAACAAATCTAAAGAGAAAAAAAAGAGAGAGGAGGGTTGCAGTTCCTCTGAAGTCCTCACATGCTCCATTCAGGCACTCTTCAGCTGGCCACAGCCCATTGTATGTGCTGCTTCACGACCATTACTGGCGCTGCAGAAAAATTCCTTCAAGTCGACTAATGGAAATGATCCTGAATGTGTTCATGGAATTCCAAAGAGGCAATTAACTGTTCGCAAATGTAATGTCACTGGCTGTTCTGCTGTAAAACTTTTGACCAGAGTGAACCAAACATACCTTCATGTCCATTGTATTTTTAACTTTTGTCTAGACAGTGTTGAGGTACGAAACCAGCCACCACAGTAAGTAGCCAGTAGATGGTGACGAGTGAGGCCTCTTCCTAGTCCCCTCTCCCCCCATCCTGCATGTGCTGCAGTAAATACTGAAGGCCCCCCCTGTGACCCGCCCAGTGATAAATAACCCTTAAGGTTAACTACGTTTGAAATGGAGCTGTGAGGCCATTATAGGCCTCCAGAGTTTTCTTGACATCCCCAATATGTTATCTGTAAGCCCAGGGACTTTTACCGCTGCAACATTAACTGCTCTCTGCTTTACAGCAGCACTGTCAAAGGTAAAAACTGCCTTCACTGACAAACATGAGAAGGACATTTTAAATCTCTCTTTGTATGTTTAGGGTTGAAAGGGAAGTCGGTATGAAAGGGAATTCAGACAAATTGCACAAAAACCAGAGCTTTCCTGTTCTTTAAACGTCAGACAGTCACCAAAATTCTGCAGCCTCATCTTACACACTTTACATTTTACATCCTGGACCTTTACAGTTCCTCGCTGACCTGTTGCTCTCTGCGTGACATTGTAAAAACATTAACTGTGTACGTGTTATTAACATCTAGTGATGATGTAAAATATGGTTATCATTAAAGAGAAAATATGGCGGCCTACAGGTGTCACTAAAACACCTTTAGATTGTTTAACATTGGGCATGGATTACCTAAAAGTACCAAATATTGTTCATAAAAGAAAGTCATAACATACCAGTTAATGAAAAATATACTCCCAAAAAGCTTGAGGTGTTACAATAAAACAAAAACAGTAGCCATAAGACATAATTAGCAAAGAGGTAGCTAAAATAATAAAAGACTTAGCAACATCAATGGTGAAGTAGGATTATCTAATAAAACATCACTGAGAACATATCAAGTTTTGGAAGTCTACTGTGGGCTATTAAGTCCAATGCTAATGCTAGTTTCAGTGCATATATAATAAGAACGTTTTTCTCCAGAGTAATGAAAACAACAGTTCATACTTTGGCCTGACTGCAAACTAAAAGCCCTTTTAACATCCCTACTCTCCCATTACGAAGAAAAAGGAAATTAATTGCTGTATATAAATGATAAGAAAACATAGTGGTAGCCAAAACCTGCTAATTAAAGTTAGCCAAGAAATGGCTGGATGTTTGCCACAACATTTAAAAACATGGTCAAAGGTTTAACAGAGGTAGTAATAAATCAGCCAGGGAGGGAAACAAATAATAAAAAGGCAGCCAAGTAATACTTGAAGTACTCAGCATGTCATCCACAGCAAAAATCAAAAAGATAAAAATAGCTGAATAATCCATTACATTGTGGCATGTTAACCAGAGATGGGGATGGGATGGGATTTAAATTGGTCATCTTCTATCTTGATGTAAAAGTAATTTATAGCATGGAATAAAAGTAACATTCAGAATATATACGAAAAAAAAAAGTCATTGTAGAAGCCATGTGGTATAATCTACATCTACAAACGTCTTCAGATCAGAGACAGAATCCCATCTCAATAATCCACCGTGGTGTCGACTTCAGAGTGGGGAGCACGAGGAAGATTAGTGTCGCCTTACCGCAGCTTTGTTTATACTTTAAACAGAAACACGAGTTGTGTGCTTGACGTGGGAATGAAATTTTCTATTCCAAAAATCTTAAATAACAACTTAGGTCATTTTGGAGACCCTTTAAAAAAGGAACGTTGATTCTGTTATGGTGGGTCATCTTAAACATGTTTTTGCCGCCACCTAGTGGATTAGTATGTGATGTGATCCTAAAAAGAGAGAAAATCATTTAGCAGTGTGTTTACTTTGACTGGCTGCTCGGAATAAGCAGTAATAATATAATATAATATAATATAATATAATATAATATAATATAATATAATATAATATAATATAATATATTTTTCATGCAATTTCTTATACGTCATTAAAATATATAAACAGACATATAAAACATAGAATCAGGACAAATATAATCTAGTTTCTTTAAGGCTACTGCACTAATTGTACTAAATATTTCTGCGGGGGGCAAAGGGAGGTTCACAACGATATTAGATACATATGTATGTAGTTATGAAGTCAAAACATAATAATAATTTTAGTAATTATATGCGTACTGTAGTAAAAGAAAATCATAATTTTAATTTTGTTCTATGTTCCTGTTCTCGGCATGTTAGTTGATTGAATCAACTCTGCCACCTGTAGGTCAGTTTCTACTTTAACTTTGTCACTGTCTCAAAAACATGCATCATAGCAGGCCTCACTAATGTTCTTCGAACTGTCTGATTCCATTAAGAAAGCTTTATTTAAGTAATAATTTAGTAAATTATAAAATACCGAATATCAAACAAAGTTGTTTTGCAAGGGGGATAATCGCATCACAAATAAACCCGAGGGTATTTTTTTAACCCTTTCAGCGCCTCTGTGTGGTAATATTTAGACACTACAAGCCACTGCATAAAGACAAACGAAGCAACTAAAAGGTTAATTTAACATCGTAAAGAAAAAAAACAAACAAACAATATAAGGAAGCTTCTCTCAGGCAAACTTATTCCAAAAGGTTTATTTCGAAGAATACTGACATATAAAATGAGGACAAAACAGGTTTATACAAAGCAAATTAATCACAGGACAACACAGTACGACTTGCAACACAAAGAAGGCTATACAGTTCAAGGATAGCAAGTAAAAAGCACCATTTAAAAAAACTAGATTACAAAATGCAAATGCAATATTTGCACATCAAGTACAATGATAATTCAAACAACATAAAAACTTTATTGATAATTTTGACACAAAAAGGACTTTGTGAGTTTATCGAAACTTGATTTCTTTTTTTTCTTAATTTCTCAGGGTTTCCTTCAAGAGCACAGATATTCTAAAGGAAGGCACACGGTTCAAAGTAAACAGAAGAAGAAGAAGTAGAAGGAGAGAGTCTCGGCACTCTGGCAGTTGAAGCGGCATCTCTTTGGCACAGCTGCATGACTTGTGAGAGACACAAACTCTATCACAAAAAAGGATGACAATGTTAATTTGACAACAATATGTACAAAATGTATGTAAAAATGTTATAAATATGTCTAAAAACCACAGACACTATGTACAACGTTGTACTGATAACAGGCGGGAGTGATTGTCACTGTAATCCCAGGCAGCAGGTCCATGTGGATCCCACCAGGGTTTAACTGGACTGCAACATGGGCGGCACTTTGGACCAGGCATGTTGTATGGACCGCATAGGGTTAGTAGATGACCTGTCTCCCATATGCGCCCCACTTTCTCAGTCACCCAAATGGGGTCCACATTTAACTGCTGTCTGGAATCACGGTAGAGGAATTTGTGGAAAATGTGGCCGTCGGCATACAACAAATTGCTAAAACGACTAAAGTGATACAGTCGCCACAAGTGTGTCATGTTGTTCAGCATACGATGAGAATGTAACAGATGCTGAGATACAGCAAAGAAATAAAAAGAATTCCCCCGCAGTGAGAAGTATCTCCTGTCTGTTTTGGCAATTGTTAGTGACGCGGGCACTTGTGCTGTAGTGTTGTGATGTCAGTCTCTGGTCTGTGGGCAGTAGGCACAGTGCGATGTTGTGGTAAGGGGCAACTACCCCTCCCTCTTTCCTCCCTCGCCTTCTCCTCTCAATCCTTCTTCCTCAGGATGATGTAAATGAGGCCACTGATGAGGGTGAGAGGGAAAGCCACCCAGGCCAGGACGTAGGCGTAGCCGAACTGTGTATGAGCGCTGTCATCGGGACTCATCACGGTGTAGATGATGGCCGCGCACATCACGAACACACCTAGAGGGGACAAGGAGAAGGAGCAGGAGCAGGAGGAGGAGGAGGAGAAGGAGAAGGTCACCAGTTGACTTGGAGGGAATGCAGATGATGTCACCACTGCTCCACCCGCTTCAGTTCTGGGTGTGACCATGTGATCATGTGATGAAGTCATACTTACTGGCGAAGACCTGGAAGATGGCCGTGAAGAAGAAACGTCCACCCTTGACCAGTTTGAAGAGCTGGAACAAAAACGCAATGAGGGAGAAGAAGCAGAAGAGGACGGAGAGAATCATGAGGGCTTGGACGGCCTGGATCCAGTCTACAAGACGGACAGAAAAACAAAAAAAAACATCACATTTTCCATAAAAACAACTGCTCAGTTCATTACTTCTGTCTGTTTGTACTGACTGACCTTCATCGATGGCTGGTTTGCAGTGGTAACCATCTTTACTTGTCAGGCAACTGTACCACAGATCTGTGTTCCTGCCTTCACCTACAGACCAGGCCTGGTAATTACAACAACATGGGGTCATTTAAATACATCACATCTTTCAAACAAACAGGTAAGGGCTGCAAGAAACAAACAAACAAACAAAAAAAAAAACCCCACAGTAATAACTGGAAGGCTATCAACAGTTATGCATCTCAATCTTCATAACCCAGCTGCAGTTTGAAATAATAATAATGAAAAAAAACACACTTACACTGGCCGCTGTGGAGACGATGAGGAGGATGAGGATGATTAAGTGCAGCAGAAGCACTCCGAGCAGAATGAGCAGCATTTTTCAAGTAGATCTGAAGGAAAAAAAAAAGGAAAAACCAAAAAAAAACACACAAGACAGACTTAGTTAAGTCACATGAAATCACCGCCCCTTTAAAAAAATCTCCAGTCAATAAGTAATGTTCCCACCAGAGGGCGCTACGCCCTCACTTTTGCTGCCAACCGCAATGTTTACCTCAGTGTAAAAGTATCCGCTTACATTCAAACGTGAAAGAGAAGCAAACTCGTAATTTCTTCCTGATGGTTCTCAAATGACAAGAGTTTCATTTTGCACCAAAACCCAAAGGTAACGCTAAAAAACGGCAGTTTATTCTAATTCACCACGAGTAGGGTTTCATTAAAACGTAGTAAATAAACATGCCCTGAATGTTTGGATAGGGAGTAGTAAACAACTTTTCATTACTCATCCTCGGCTAATCGACGCGTGCTGCTGCAAACAAACACCGCTTAAAGAGGTGTAGACGAGAAAAAAATATTAAAAAAAAAAAACAAACAAAGTTTTGTGCCACATGTGTCAGCCTCAGCCGTGACCGTGGAACAGGACGTTCATCTGGACTACGTTTCTAAACGTCAGTAGAAAATGCGTGCGTCAGCAAAACAAAGACAGAACAATCGGGATCTGTGTCGGCTTTTGACATCACTAAGTTAAATCCAAAATCGAATTAAAGTCCCCGGGGCGAGGTCCTGCAAGAGACAAGAAAGCCAAAACGAAAGTGAAAAAAGGAGGAGAAAAAACCTAAAGCACATCAAGTCCAACTTACAAAAAGTCAAAGCAGGATGAACTCTGAAGTGAGGAGTTGGGAAAGTTATCACCAGGCTGCTTCTGCTTCCACTCCTTTTCTGCGGCTACTATTCCAGATGTTGTTCTCTCTTTGCGTCTCTCACACACACAGACTCGCACGGACTCACACACACACCCCAGTTGTGTCTGTCTCCGCCTGAGAACACCGCCCTGCAGGCCGTGCACGTCACCAGAGGCCCGCTCCAAACTGTTGCCTTGATTTTTCTCCTCCCACTTTTCCTCCTCCTCCTCCTCCTCCTCCTCTTCTTGGTTGTAGCCCATCATCTGGATCGTAGTAAAGTCTGCAGGACTGCGTGGTGTTTTTTGAGCAAAACAAAAATGATTTCAATAAATGTTTTTAACAAACAGAAATCCCTCATGCCTATAACTGCAGCCGACACAGTCCTCTGGACTAGTTCATGTTTTTCTTTTTTACATTTTATTTATCCGTTCTATTTTCCTGACCTTGAATCCTGACCCTGACAGGTTTTGAAAACAGTTTTTATGTCACCCACATTTTTACCGCAGTACAGTTGAGACACATTGAGACAAACATTCAGATATAAAGTGTCCATTTAACCTATACATAGAAAAAAACGGTGAACCAATGACCTTTTTGTTGTAAGGCAACAACACTGTCCGCCCTGTCACTGTGTGCCCCGGGGCGATCATTTTGACAAACTTTGGACACTCTGAAAGAAACATTGTTATTCAACTTCTTACTAATGATACTATTTAAATAAAATCACATAACATCATTGTTTTTGTTTTTTGTTTGTTTCTTTGCTCCTTCATTCCACACCCAGGTCCAGACGTTCCCAGCAGTTGTTGTCAGGACAACTCTACCTTGTTCCAGATGGTTGATGTTGGCTGGACAGCTTTGTGCACATTGAGCTTCACAAAACACACATGGCTCACAGTACTCTTTCCAGATACCGTGTGTGTGTGTGTGTGTGTGTTTGGATGTGAATATACCAGCCCTACGGGGGCCCCGTGGTATGCCCAAAATGCCTGTGTATGTGTGTGTGATGCAGGCCTCCTGTTTACTCCTCGGCCTGTGGAGAGAGAGAGAGAGAGAGAAGGGAGGGTTTGTCCAGCGCCAAAGGGAGTTACCACGGTGCAATGTTTCGGTCATGCTAAATTGATGGAACATCTTGCATCTCCTCACACGTGAGATCCATGGATGAGTGACAGGAGATATGCCCACCACGGCCCACCGGGCTCAGGCATCCCTCATTACACCGTGGTCTCAGGCCGTTTCCTCACAGTGACAAATCTGTAAACAATGCCTGAGGGCAGATGACAACATCAGCAGCAACAAAAAAAGGGAAGAAATGCACGCCGGTTGTTTTGAAACCAGACCAAACTTCGCTGTGATCTCGTGCTGTCGGCGAACGTCGTTCGTGAACTTCCCTGCGAGTCTCCCAAACTGTTTTTGGCTCGTCAGGTGGATTCCTGTGGTCTGTGTTTGTAAACACGTGAGGGGAGGATGTGTGAGCTGCTGCCCAGGCCGTCTGTGGAAGGCTGTGCCGTGAGCTCTGGCAGAGATGAAAAAAAGGGCAGAGAAAGAGGGGGAGAGGGGAGGCAAGAGAGAGGGAGAAAAAAAATCAGAGAGAGAGTTTTGACAACCAGCTGACCACTCTGTTGGACCTGCTCCTGTTTATGGAGCTGTAATTGGTGCTGTGGTCAGGAGAGGGCAAACCTGCTGGGGCAGGTGTGAGAGACACTCTGAATGTCAACTCCATCTATTGCCTCCCTGTGGTTGGAGGAAGTTCATCTCAGACTAAAGTGCATTATCTTACACAGTTAATTACGTTATTAAAGCTTCAGAGTTTTTTATTAGTGTAGGAACCAGAAGTCATCAGAGACTCTGCAGGGAGGTGACGACGTCTTTGGTTGATTAGAACACTGTCATGTTATATATTTAATTCGACAGTTTCCTTACAAATGTGAATCAAACGAATCCCAGAATAATCTTGTAACAGATGCTAATTGTATCGGCCTCTTTGTACTTTGCTCCATAAGAACAGACCTCTGACATAAGAAGAGGATCCCCCATATATAATAGGATGTCCCTGTTCTGAAAGGTCAACCAACAGTTTGTTATAATTGATCTTAAATTAGAGGATTTGATCATCGATCCAAAACCATGGGTGAAGAACTGGTCCACTCCCACAGCCTCACTGAAGACGCTGCAGATCTATGTGCCTTTCTTACTTCACATTAGCTCATCCCTTTAAACCTCAAACGTCTCATGATCCCAGCACAATTGTTATGGCAGATGTACTGACTGACGCAATCCTATGAGCTGGACTCAAACCCGTTACCTTCTGGGTGTAAGACAACCCCATCGACCACTGTACACAACCACCCCTACAGTTCTGCACGTAATTTTCTGCTGACGTATAAAAGAGCATTCACAGGAAGAAAAACCCCCGCTGTAATGACACCTTTAAATGAGAAAGTCACACTAACTTGTGCTGCAGCCGCTGTAATGACTCATTTTACAGCATCTGTCACACATTCTCTGCAAATGATGCCTCAGTGCATTGAGCTGCACTCGGCCCAACCCATTTCTTTCTTATGACTTCATTAAATCTGAAAGCTGTGGGACCGCAATCAATGTTTCATAAGAAAGTAAAAAGGTTTTTAATAATGAACAAAATAAGCACATATTGCCCCTCCTTTTTTTTAAATGAATTTTTTTTGCCATTGTGCATTGGGACCTTGCGATAAATATTTTATTACAAAACTGATTGTCACAAACAAAATGATGATTCTGGAAAGTGCCACAAATGATATGAGCATTTGTCGAGAGTCTAGTCGTTATTTTTGCTCTGTCAAAGAAAGCAGCAGACTAAACAGAGTCCCCACAAGGTCCTTGAAAGAAAACACAGCTCCTCTGCTGCTGGAGGTGAAAGAATAGAGCGAGCAGAGAAGAGCCGCTAACCAGCAGTCACCATAGTCACAGGGCATTGTGAAGAGACTGCAGCTGAAATATAAAACTGTCACACCCCCTCTTTATTGAAACCAGGAAACAGATGAACTACTTACAGAGTGTTACTTCTCTTAAGAGCTGAATAACCTCACGTTGTCTGCTAACACAGTGAAGCTCGTTGAGTGAGTTCCCTGAATTAAATTCACCAAATTTGGTCTCTTTTTTTTTTTTTAAAGAAAGGGTGTATTTTGATTGATTCGACTCACTGAGGTGTTTTCATGTTGTGGCCGTGTTAAGAAAATCTGTTTTAAATGAAACATCTCCATAAAAGAAGACATTACAACCAGAATAGTTGAGGTGAAGACAGAGCCAAGATGTCTGCAAACCAAATAAAAAACATTTCTATAGATTCAACACTAATTGTACTGAGTTTCTAGTTTTGTCAGACTTGAGAAAAAAGAAATCATGCAGATACATGGGAGAGCATGATCATCTTAGAAAATGTCTTCATCAAGACCATTAAAATGGCACCCTATGTTAGTAGTACATAGGTAAGTCAACAAGCAGGACCAGCTGGTGGCAGCAGGGTGAGTCCTCTTGCCTTACAGCAGTAACATCAGTAGTTTGAGGCCCGGCGGTAACTGATAGCCTTCAGTGTCCTCTTAGAGATACAAAACATGAAGGAATGTGTTAAATGGTCACGATTTTTCAATTAACCATAGACACACAGTCAGTGTTTCCTGTCTCTCTGTGACTGCTCCCCTGTCCAGGATGTAGAACCTCCCTCCCTCCCTCCCTCCCTCACTCACCCCGCTCCCTCTGAGAACTCTAGAAAAGTATTAGGCAACACAAAATACATGGATTAATGAATGCCATTAGCGCCACACAATGGTCATAGAGTAGTTGGTGCATAGAGCTTGGCTCTATGGTTGGCTCTATGGTTGAAGCCTAAGTTCTTCACACATTAATTCAGCAGTTGCTCTGATTTTGATTATTGATTATTATGGCAATAAAAGCTCATACTGTGCCTTTTCCAGCAATGACTGCAGAGCTGAATGTAACTGACGAAGGCTGGCAAGCTCTGTGTTTTAGTTTTCCTCGGTACAAATTGTATCAGGGTTTGATTTTCATCAAATTTTTTTCCCCCTCAATTTAAATTCAATTTTAAACTAAAATAGCCGGAGGTTAAACCAACTCTGGGTGTTAGTGCTGCTGAAACAGTCTGCTGTTTTGCAACAGATTGACTGGGTTCCGGTACACAGTTCTGCTCTGGCTCCAATAGCAAACATGTGACTGAGGGAAGAGTGAGAGAATTAGGGATACAGTTTTGGTTTTGGAAATGACCCTGACTTGGCTGACTGGGAGGGATTTTAGTGAAACAGCTGGATGGCCAATTTTACTAGTGGGAATTTGTAAGAATTATGGAACGCCCCAGCGCTCTTTCACCTCTGGAAGTCGCTGCCAAAACAAGAGGAAACACTAAAGCTCTGAAGTCAGTCTGGTCAGATGTCATCAGGAGGAGCTGACAACGCCTGCTCACTAAAAAGCCGCGGGGTCATGTCAGCGGACACCTACGAGGAACATCTGGGAAAATGCTAAAGACACTGGTGCGCTGGTCCCTATAGCTTTGCTTTGCTACAGAATGGGTGAGAATGTCTTGTTTAGCCAAGTTCCAGTGGGGCCTAAATACTGAATCCAATGCATTAGTCTGCCTTCAAACCATAAACAATGGCGTTCTTTGGCAGATGCATTGTATGCTCACATGGCTGCGTGCAGC